CTTGTCCATGGCCACATATTTTGTATTTTGGAGGCATTGTAAGACTTGTGTTGTAAATAGACCATTTGATGTGTAAAATGGCTATAATATTGCGAATTTTGTAATTGATGCATTACATAATGAAAATGTATGATGGAAGGGCCTAGAGCCTACATTAGTACTAGTGTAAGATGTATATTAAGTATTAAGGTGTTACGAGTAAGTTACATCACTCATTTTGTGTTTTTAAAGCTGTCATATGTCATTTTTACAGAAGGGTAATCGATTACCTTTCATTGGTAATCGATTACCTGAAACAGGGGACGCAAATTTGAGCTACTGCGTTCAAAGTAATTGATTACCTTGACATGGGTAATCGATTACCTATGTCTAGGTAATCGATTACCAAAAACAGGGGAGCCCAAAATTGGCTACTGTCTCATTCTGGAGCCTTTGGTAATCGATTACCATTTTTGGGTAATCGATTAACAGTATGTAAAATTTTGAAAATGTGTTTTCTGAAATTTAAAATCAATGGTATTGCTTAGAGAGATGATAATTAGTATGTTTTCTGCTTCCGCGAGTTTTGCATTTACAATTACGACGTTGTTTTAATTAGTTACAGAAATGGTTAATGGTTAACAATGAGGATTCAATGAAAGAAAAAGTTTACCCGTAATTTAATTAACTCAATTACTGTGATTGTAACTGCGCTTTGCAATGATAATATTTTTGGTACGTAACGGGCTGTTACAGATGGCCTTCTGTATTATTTGGAATTTCAATTTTTGGCTTTTTTTAAAAAAAAAAACCTAAACAAACAGATTGAATTTTATTTGAAAACCATTTATGTAGGTCATTACTTCGTGCAATTCCAGTAATTAAATGCATTAAAAAATGAGATGATTAAAAAATGATGATAGCCAAAAAAGTTGAAATTTTAATGCTATTAATGATGACCTTCTATAGCATTTGTAATTTTAATTTTTGACTTTTTGAAAAAAAAAATTAAATAAACATATTGAAATAAATTTGAAAATCATTAATGTAGGTTATTAGTTTGATAGGTTTGATTTTGCTAATTGGTGTTAGTATTTTACACAATGTTATTAAAACTGACCCGGTCAATGTCCTGAGTCAGTGAGTCACTGGTTCAACCGCATGATCCGGTAATTTTATGCAATTTTATAATTTATATTAAAAAATTATAAATATACCCAAATATCTAAAAAAAAAATTCAAATATTTTAATATAAAAAATAATAAATCACATATTATTATCCAATAAAGGATAATATAAATATAATGATCATAGTACTGGGCTTTGAATTCAGAAAATCACATCTCTAACTATAAATCAAATCAAAAAATTTTGCGTAATGCACAATTGAGATAATATTAGGGTTGTTGGTACATAATTTATGTAAGTCAATAATAACTTATGTAAGTTAATAAGAAAAAAAATATTCAAATATGTCCATTATGATTTTTTATTTTTATTTTTAAAAATTTGGATTTTTTTTTTAGGACCGGGCCGGGTCACCGGTTAACCGACCGGGTCATCGATTTTCATAAAAACCGGACGGGTCGGACCGAGTCGTACCGGTTCTGATGCATGGACGGTCCGTTGCTTCAACCGGACCGGTTATATGACCGGTTTACTGGTTCTCGGGTCGACCCGGCCGGGTCGGTCCAGTTTTAATAACTATGATTTTACAGACCACTTTAATATTTCCCACTACTTAATTTTTGCATTAGAAATTATTAAGCATATTAATACTATTTTTTATTATATCTATTGGGTAAAAAATATTTAATATTTAAAATTCAATCTTTTTATATTTGAATTTTAAACTTGATAGGTGGAAAAAAAAAGTTCAGTATTCAATGTTTCTATAGTGAGAAAAAAGATATATAATAAATTTAAATTTAATATAATAGATTATAGATTAAACGAAAAAAATTAAATTATAAAAAAATATGTATAGTTGATTAAAAATAATTTAAATTTGAAATTTAAATTAAAAAAATAAGAAATGTGACATTTATACTTTTAAAGAAAATAAATTAAAAGTTAAACTTAAAAAAATATTACAAAAGAGAAAAACATATGTATGAAAATGTTTTTTTTTTATTTTTTAACTTAAACGTTTTAAATATATATGTATAGCCAATATTAAAAATTATAAATAAAAATAAAAAAATTAAATTTTAAAAAATATGTATAATTAATAAAAAAATTAAATTTTAAATTTTAAAAATTAAATAAAAATGACATTTATCCTTCTGTAAAAACTTAAAATTTTAAAAATTTAATCACTGTAAAAATTAATGATCATTTAGGGTGTGCATGACAACCATTCTATTCCCTAGTACTGTTTCTGAAAAGAAACAATTCTTTTCTATTTCTATGCCTTGAAACAGTTTCTGAGAAAAAAAATGTGTTTGATAACATGTTCTATTTTTATTCCGAGAATGAGAATTGTGTTTGATAACACAACAAATAATATTACAAAAAATAATTTCTATTAAATATAAAAAAAATTTGGATCATCACTTTCCTTTCCATATGGTATGGTTGTGGTGGTGGTGACGGCGAGTGGCATGGTGGTGGTGGCAGCGGTGGTATGGTAGTGGTCGTGGCAGTGACGTGGTGAAGATAGTGGTGGTGTTTGTGACGGCAGTGGCTGCGAAGATGGCGGTGGTAATGGTGGCGGCGGTGGTAGTGGTGGGGATGGTAGTGGTGGAGGTGACGGCAATAAGTGCGATAATGGTGGTGGGTATGGTGGTTAGTGGCGGCAATAATGGCAGCAGTGGCATGGTAGTGGTGTTTGTGAAGGCATCATGGTGGTTGTGGTGGTGACAGTGGCGGTGGTGGTAGGTGACAGTGGTGATGGTGATGGTGGCGGTGGTGGTAGTGGTGGCGATGGCGTGGTGATGGTAGTGGGGGTGGTGTAATGGTGGCTATGGTTGTAGTGGTGACGGTAATGGCTGTGACGATAATGGTGGTGGTTGGTGGTGGCGGCGGCGATGGCGGCGACGGCGCTGGTGGTAACGATAGTGGCTGCGACAATGGTAGTGGTGGTTGGTGACAGTGGTGGTGATGGTAGTTGTGGCGTCGTGGTGGTGGTAGTGGTGGCGATGGAATGGTGGCAGTGGCGTGTGATGGCGGTGACGGCAGTGGTTGCGATGATGATGGTGGTGGTTGATGGCGATAGTGGTGATGGTGGTGGTGATAGTGATAGTGGTGGTGGCAGCGGTGGTAGTTGTGGTGGTGGTGACGGTGGCATAATGGTAGTGATGGATGGAGGTGGTGGTAATGGTGGCGGTGGCATCGTGGTGGTGAAGGGTGGTGACGACGGTACTAGTGGTACGATGACGGCGGCGACGATGGTGGTGGCAGTCGTGTCGGGATGATGGTGGTGGTGGTGATGATGGTAAAGGTGGAGAGTGATTGAGAGAGATAAATGTTCCTCATTTTGTGCTCGGGAACACAAAAGCAGAAATTTTCTGATTCTCTTTTTTGTTCTCCAGCACAAAAATTAAATCGGTTCATCCCGAGAACAAAAAATAAACTGATTTTACCAAACGAGTTTCCTATCCATTTCTGTTCCCGAGAACAGAAATTAAAATAAAAAAAATTTCCGGGAAGGTTGTCATGCGCACCCTTAGTGACCAGTGACCATCCAACTCCTGTATTGTAAAAAGATATTTGCCATTAAATATTTTACATATTATTTGAATGATTCTCACTACTTTATGTATGAAAAATTGTTAAACCTATTAATAATATTAAGATTATGTCTATTAGGTGAGAAAATATTTAATATATAAAATTTAAACTTTTTAAATTTGAATTTTGAACTTGATAGGTGGGAAAAGAATATAAAGCAAAAATTGAAATTATCAAAAAATGGAATTTGATTAAACAAAGTATAAAGCAAATAAATGATTACACATGTAAAATATTTAATTTATAATAAAAATATAAGTTGTTAAAATTAAAATTTAATAAACTGAGGTATAAAGGAAATAAATTTCTGATGTGCTACTCATTAAATCTTACGTTATAATAATTTATAATATTATTTATGAATGGACAAATGAATTAGTTAAAATAATTGGAAAAAAATAAATTTCTCTTTAAGATTCAGAAAGCACTCCTCACATTCCTGCGTCCACACAAAAGAAGTATCATTTCGTGTTAAGCGGGTCAATGGTAGTACCATTTTAGAAAACCGTTCGATAAATCTAAGGTAATAACCGGCTAAACCTAAAAAACTTCTAATTTCAGTCATCGTTTTAGGACGTCCCCAATTCATTACTGCTTCTATCTTGCTTGGGTCCACTGCAACACCGTTAGTTGAAATCACATGACCCAAGAATTGCACCTCCGAGAGCCAAAATTCACACTTCGATGGTTTGGCATACAACTTTTTATCTTTCAACATCTGCAACACAGTTCTCAGATGATCTGTATGCTCTTCCTTACTCTTGGAATATATCAAAATATCATCAATGAATACAATAACAAATTGAGCCAAATAAGGTTTAAAGATGTGATTCATGTAATCCATGAACACCACCGGAGCATTAGTGAGTCTAAATGGAATCACCTGGTACTCATAATGTCCGTATCTGGATCAGATAGCTGTTTTAGGTACATCCTCCGACTTAATCCGGATATGGTGATATCTAAACCGAAGGTCAATCTTCGAAAAGACACAAGCACCTCGAAGTTGATCCAAGAGATCGTCAATTCTTGGTAGAGGATACTTGTTCTTAACCGTCACTTTATTAAATAGCCGGTAATCAGTGCACAGTCGCATGCTTCCATCTTTCTTCTTTACAAATATCACTGGTGCTCCCCACGGGGACACACTAGGTCGTATGAAATTCTTTGCTGACAACTCTTCAATATGCTTCTTTAATTCCGCCAATTCCTATAGTGACATTTGGTATTGAGCCAAAGAGATAGGCCCCACACCATGCAACAAGTCAATAGCGAACTCAATCTCCCTCTATGGTGGAAACTCAGGTATTCCGTCTGGAAGCACCTCCATAAATTCCTTCACTACCGGAATATTAGAAATCTCCACTTCTTTCTCACCAACCAGACAACCCAATAGTACATAGCCCAAATTCCCAGCCTTCAAGGCCTTAATAGTTTGACACACAGACAAATACGAAGAAGGACTAACAGCGGGTTTCTCAGGAGGTAAAATTTACCTTTTTCCGCAACAATCAATCATTGCGCAGTTTTTAGACAACCAGTACATACCCAATATCAAATTAACCGAGACCAGCGGTAAGATAATCAAATCAATAGTGTAACCCCTGCCTTCATACACAAACTCAACATCTTTACAAATGAAGGAAGAATCACTAACCTTTCCTGTAGCAGTAGTAATATGCATCGGGGAATCTATCTTTGTTACATTTAAATTCAACCCCATAGCCACATATTCCGCAATAAAAGAATGGGTCGCTCCAGAGTCAAACAACACAGATAAATCATGATTAGCAATGAAAATTATACCTTTAACTAAGTTCGGAGCCTTATAAGAATGTTGGACATTTGTAGTATAGATGCGTCCAATCGTAGGAATAACATCAGTAGTGGTAGCAGAAATCGGCAAGGCCTGCAGATTTGCGGCTTGCCCGGCAGAAAAAGTATAGTTTCGAGCAAAGTGGCCAGTCTGACCACACTTAAAGCAAGCACCTGGAGCCCAACCACACTGACCTTTGTGGTATTTCTTGCACTTCCCGCATTGTGGGGTAAAATATCTATCATTTGGTCCGCCTCCCGAGACTCCACCCCTCTTGAATTGCCCTGGAAGGTTGACTCACTTATAAACCCTTGCCTTTGTTATTACCCTTCCAGGGTGAATCGAAAGGATTAGCATTCCTCTTCACCTCTTGCTCACAAGAAGCATCGGACTTCGGGTACCTCCTATAAACCGTCTCTACCCTTTTGCATTGGGTAACAAGATCCACAAAGCTTTGCACCGCCGTATTAGACATACGCTTCGCTATTTTCTCATTAAGTCCCCTCTGGAACTTAGCAGCCAGGAAATCCGGGGTAGGTAGAACCTTGCCATAATTAGCAAACTTTACAAGCTCATTAAACTTCACCACATAAGCATCCACTGACATGGTGCCTTGCACCAATCTATCAAACTTTCCCTGCTTCGCTTCCCTAGCATCTCTAGGAAAGTACTCTTCATGAAACAAATTTTGGAATAGTGGCCAGGTCATTTCTTGTCCTTGTATCTCAAATGGCCTCGACGCATTGCACCATCACTCATGTGCCTCACCTTCCAGCATATATATTGAGTACCTTAGCCTCTGAGGATCCTGACACCTCATAACTTGAAATATCTTCTCCATGCCTTGTAGCCATGTATTGACTACCTTAGGATCCTTAGACCCCAAAAAGGATGGAGGCTTGTGTTTCTGGAAAGAGATCATCCTTCTCTCTTCCGCATCCGCCTCTCCAAAGTGGTCAACAACAACAGTATGTTGACTAGCATCACCAGTGTGATGACTAGCCTCGCTCTCCCCCTGCTGAGGAGTCATAACAGGTGTAGGCGTAGGTGTAGGAGTCATCGTAGCCGTGTGTGGAGGAGAATCATCCCTCCTCTGGGCATTTCTCTTAGCCTTCATCTCAGTGACGAATGGTTGAAGCAATTCTTGGTTTGCTTTCATGAGATTCTCAGTAGTAGTCCTATTTGCAGCAGTTTCATTCTGCAGAGCAGTCAACACTGCAGCTATAGGATCAGGCTGAACAGGAATTGCATTCGGTGCCCCGCGGTTACCACGGAGTCATCTCATGATAACTGTACATGTAACACAAAGGAATGAGCTGATCACACCCACACTAAGGAATCACATATACAATAATCACAAAGAGTCTACAGACAACTACACAACACTAAACACAATCATACAATCTACAGAGTTCCCTAAGAAACTGCTCTGATACCATAAAATGTAACACCCCGTTCCCAGATCGGTGTGTTATCATCAATTATAATATTAAATGCGTTTACAATCACAACAGTTATTTGAAATTACGGAAAAAAATTTTCTTTTTAATATCGTTTGCACTTTTAAAATAATCGTATCAGACAATACACTAACTGTGATTATTACTCAAAACTCAGCAGAATTATTAATCAATAAGCTTAATACTATACAACTTCTATTTATAGGCTACTAAGTGGCTCCCATAAACCAACAAAGCTTAAAACTCATTCTATCCATGTTTAACACTGAATGCCCTATTTTTTTATTTATTCTAGGAATATTATACTCCTCTAATGATTCTTCTTTCTTAATATGTTATATATTTCTTTGTTAGCTTCACGTGGGTTCAAACCGCGCTCAATTTAGAGCATCGTAGCTCAAGTTATGAACTTTCTAAGAAAGTGGTGCTGAACCCCCCAGGGTCCGGCGCGAATAGCGCCACGAAGCAGAGGATTTCCAGAATTCTGGCGCGAACAACGCCAACCTGGCACAAATAGATCTAGGAATACGTCATTTCCCTATATGTTGGTGCGGTTAGCGCCACCACAGCGCTAATAGCGCCACAGGTCTGGAGATAGACACCAAAATAGGGCAATGCAACCAACTTTGGTATTTTACCCATAACTTGAGTTATACTGACTCAATTTACATGATCTTGGTCTCGTTGGAAATCTAAAAGAAAGATCTATAACTCCCAAGAAGTCCAAGGGGCTCAATTCTATCATATAGGATATGAAAATCGGGTAGCACTTTGTTTATATTTCCAACAATTACCAATTTTCCAATCATATACCTAATCAATTATCATCCCAATATTTACTTGACTATTTCACAGCTCAACACATTCAATAGGTCATTCACCCTTCCATCAATTATACACCTCCATAAAATATTCTTTACAACAAGTAATTTGCAAACATAATCCAAGTGGCATGGACACCCCCCATGCTCACCCATATCCAAAATGATAAAATGAGGCATATACAATTGGATTCCAAAATACAACTAATAATCAAGAGACTTAGGATTACATATGAACAACAAAAGCATGGTAAATACCACTACATGCAATACCATGTTCATATACTAAGTTCTCTACACAATGAATGTCAACAAAATATAGAAATCTCTCAAAATGGTATATGAATCTCATGCATCGAAATCTATCTCCACCACTAGGTGGGCTTCTTGCCCGAAACTTCAATGTGCTCACCTGGACCTGAAATGGTGCCCCAAAGAGGGGTGAGTATACATATATATCTCAGTAAACCAATGGCACTGGAAGGTCACTCCGCCCAGTGACTCACTCAATGTGCATGCAATGATACATAATGAACAGTATAACATAAAAAATCATATCACAACCGGGCACTATCCAAGAACATCCACTAAAGGATTCATTCACCATCAAACTTCTCCCGGGACACTTCATGGCGCCTCTCCCATGGTTGAAAGACTCCATAGAAAACCTAACTGGAACTCCCAAGGAGACCTAGCCAGCGGAAGTCCCACGTTTGGAGCTCCCTAGTGCCGCTCCCAGAGACGACTCTACGGCAAAACCCAACCGGAACACCCCAAAGGAGCATAAATTGGCGGAAGTCCAAGCCAACACATCTACTGGCCAGAGATCACAATTACAATAACACACAATATGCCACACGCATGTCAATCAACATATCAATAATGCATGAACATACTATTGCACACATTATCAAAGAGCACACATCCAACCATCACCCTCAACTTGGGCATGGTGGAACACACAAGGGGATTCCAAGAGTTTACCTCTAAGAACTCCTCAAGCAATGCTCTCCAACGTTAGCTCCAAGCTCAATCCACCTCTACCGAATCCTTGAGAGGTAACCTGCAATGATCATACAACAATGATCGTCAACAACTCGATCACAAGTCACAATGATTCTACAACCCACAACAAACCTCACCATTTAATCAAACACTAGCAAACCATTCCACATACTCAATAGGCACCTTACCACAATTTCTCCCAAATGTGCTTATATAATCAATGAGTAAAGACCATGGTTCCTAGGGGGTTTTCAATGATTATATCATGCTTTAACCTTTCATTTTCTTCCATAATTGATTACACCAATCACCAATACATAAGTCCAACAACCATATTTATGACCCCCAAGTCCCCAACAACAAAATCCCTCTCAATTTTGCCTAAGTTACCAATTCAAATCACAATAAATTTTATTGATTCAATCATCATCATTTATCATTATGAGCAATAAATTCCAAAGGGACACTATCATTAAAGCTCTCCAACTACATCAACCAACATACCCTCATCCAATGTTCATCAATTTTATGATCTCTTAAATAACTCAATGAAATTGTGAATACTTACTACAAATGGACTCCCAAGCACCCTAGGAGTGGTTTCCAAGCACCAATGCAAGAGATGAGAGCCTCCAAGCTCCCACACACCACCTAGGTCGAAAACATTGGAGGGAGAAGATCTCTTCACACACCACACCCCACAAGATGCACTCAAGATGAAAGTCACTCACAAGAGGATGAGGAACAACTTTGTAGTTGAAGGTTTCTCCTAAAAGTGGCTAAAAAATGAGATGGTAGTTCAAAGCTTTCAAATGCCACAAAAATGGCTTCCTTGGTGATTTTGGAGAGGGTGATCGAAGGTAGGAGAGAGAGAAATCAGATTTCTGACTCAAAATGCTCTCTCTCACGTGTTTCAATTCATTTAAGTGGGAAGTGGGTCTCACATGTCACTTAACTCACTTAACACATCCATTTTAATTCACTAATTTTACAATCCATAATTTTTATCCAAATTTCACATATTTTTATTTCCTATATCATAATTTCATTTTTCAAGTTTATCGGTAAAATTACACTGCAGTATTTTATCTGGTAAAATCATTATTCATCAAAAAAATTTAAAATATACCTATGAACTCCAAATTTCGTACTGAATCCATTTCTAGTATTATTTTCCTCAAATTAAACTCTGATTTATCATTTCTCGGTACAGGGTTAAACAGTTGGCAAATTACCATTTTGCCCCTGATGGGTATTGTGACCCCAAATCTCAAGATTTTCACTAATTAAACCCTCTAACCCTCAATTTAGCATTTAATATCATAATTAAATATGCGAGGTGTTATAGCAGGGCCATCGCGCCTGGCAACACGTTTTTTCTTCTTATATTTATTGTCTAATCTTTTTTGTTCTTTCAATATCCACTTTCTGTTCACACTTGAAACCACTTTGAAATGTTCATCTTTTAGTAACTTTTAAAACTCGAAATTTAAACTTGATAGGTTGGGGAAAAGTTCAACATTCTTTGGTGGCAAACAATTGTATTAATATCCTACTACTTTCTACATGGGTAATTGTTAAGCTTATTAATAATACAACTACTTTCTACATCGAAAATTGTTAAGCCTATTAATAATATTTATTATTATGTCTATTAGGATTAATTAATTTTTTGGGTCTACAAACGAACCCATGATTATTAGGATTAATAATACCACTATTTCACAAATTACAATGGCAATAGTATTTGAATACAAAACATATTAAATCAAAATTTTTATCATATTTAATAAATCACGTGTACTTAATAGAGATTTGAATAAATAAATCGTATGTTAATGAAGAACTCCATTTTTAAAATATTTTAAAAAACAGTAATTTCATACTCATATCCACACAACCAACAGGAGTATCAATGAATACATCAATACCTTTCGTATTAGATCCCAATTGCATATATATTGTTGGGTGACAAGTTTCATGAGTCTAATGAAATTGTGACATTTGTTGGTTATGTGCTTTTTGTTTGTTTACTTCTAATAGATGATAAATACTACAAAATACATAAAACAATTCATAGTTAATTTTTTAAAATTTATAAAATTTCTTTTTTAAAAACTAAATAAATTCATATATGATAAATAGCTCTAGCATGAAGAATCATTCTTTTAAAAATGGATCCCTCTAACAGTTTAATTTGATATACTAACAATAGAAAGTAAAATAATTATGAAAGTGACTTAAATATCTTTATTTTGATATCAACAAAATAATTTTGTTATCAATACTTTTAAACTATATATATTTCAGTTCAAGTTAATTTATAAAATTATGCAGGATTCCAAAAAAAAAAAAATTATAAAATCTATTCTTATTAAAAAATTATTCAAGTAAAAATATTAAATGCAAGTTATGTATACTAGCAAATATATCATGTATTATATATATATTTTTATTTTAAATACAAAAATATAAGTAAAAAAAATATTTAAGATTTTGTGAGAAAAAAAGTTTTAATATAAAAAGTACAATCTTTTTAATTGAAAGTACATACTAATGTAAAATGCTAACAGTTAGAGGTGGCAAAATAGACTCGGCCCAGAGGACCGGCCCACCCTATAACACCTCCCAATTTTAAATCAAGTAATTAAAATATTAAGTGAGCAATCAAGCGATGAATTAGTGAAAATCCTAAAGATTAGGCCAAAATACAAAGAAAGGGCAAAACGGTAATTAGCCAACACGCAACCCTAGGAAGATAAAAATTGAGTAGAAGGTCTCATATGGTAAAAATAACCCCGAAAATGGGTTCAGAACGAAAAATTGAGTGGATAGGCAAGTTTCAGAAAAATCAGTGAATAGTGTTTTTCGCG